ACACGGGAGCGCCGCGAGGGGAGGGGGGAGAGGGGAGGGGAGGGCAGCCGCTCTCCGCCGCCCACGTTTGCACGCCTGGGCGCTCAGGGTGCGGGGCGAAGGGACTCCTTTTTGCTTCTCCGCGATCTCAGCAGTTGAAGCTCCGCGTCACGAAAGGTCCGGACAGCAGTTAATGAACACAGCGAACCGGGTGGGCCAAGTGGGGTCGGAGCAGGGCTCAACGTCCGCTCTGCAGCCGGCCCGCGGCAGGGACAGACCTCTCTTGCCATTGCCCCCTCCAGCCCTCGAGACCAGTCCCCACCCTACCGGAGCCTGGGGCAGCGCGCTGCCAGAGCGGGAGTTGGGGTTTCTGCAAGCCTTTGCCTCTCCCTAGTGGTGATACTCGCAGCCAGGAGAAGAGGTCAAACCCATTGCTACAGGTTCCCAAACTGAGTCCATGGGTCAAGTGGCTTGTCTGAGGCTGTTGCTCGACCCGTGAGCTGAGCCTACACTCTCTTCCTGTTGGTCACTCTTTCCCCAACCCCGTCCCCACTGCGCAGAAAGGCGCTGGACAGCCCCAGCACTGGATGGCAACTCTTTGCTAGACTTCCCCCCCCCGCCCCCGCCCGCGGAGCCTGGAGGCCATTAGAAAGCTGTCTGAACCCCTGAGACTCAGCTTTACTGTAACCCCTGTGTTGAAATCTCTGTGCTGCAGCTACTATGGAAGGTGAGGAGGATGGAGGTGCCAGGCGGGGGTGCTTTCGGGGTAGTTGCGTGTCTGGGTCTGTGGAAAGGAGGCCTGAGTAACTTTCACAGCTATGAGGCCACCCCAAAAGAGAATCATAGTACCATCCTTGTTATGTGTCCTTGGAGGAGGTAGGGGGAACTGGGAACAAAAAGCGATGGCCAAGACCGAGACTCTGCCTGCGTGACCAGAGTGCTTTGGTTGAAGGCAGGGAACTGAAGGCAGGGAACAGGCTGTCAGAGCGAGGGCGGTAGAGAATCTTCCCTGAGACTTTCTGTTCAGTCCCACTCACGTGTGACCCAAACAAGGGATCCCTATGCAGGAACAGAAGAGTTCCTCTTTTGGGAAACGTGGAATGGATATATTGGAGCTGGAACTCAGACTCCAAGACACGAGAGGGAGATCCTGATACTAACTAGGGGCTGGGGAGGGGGGGCGCGCGGTGCACAGACTATCCCCACAGCTCCCCACTCGCTCCTGTCTCCATTCCCTCCCTCTTCCTCTGCACTTCCTCCCGTTCCCTTAACTTCTCAGCTGCCACCTTCTTCTTAAAGATTCTGTACAACCAACATTTGTTTAGTGCCTACTCTCTGCCAGCAGAATGAATAAGAGAGTCCCTTTCCTCAAAGAGGGGGACCTTGTAGACCATTAGGGAGACAGATAAACAAATGATTTTCACATGGCAAGGTTATGTCTCATAATAAAGGCGGGCAGAGTGCTCTGAGAGCAGAAGACAGGCACCCAGCCTAGCCCTGCAAGGGGATAGATGGGGGTCAAAGGTAGCTTTCACAATGAGATAGAGCAGAATCTTGAAGAATGGATTATGAGTTCATACAGCAAACAAGAGGGGAAGGAGGCCCCCAGCAGAGGGAACATCCTTAGCAGAACCAGAAAGACAGGAAGTGGTAAGGGTGTGTGAGCAGGGGTGCAAGCAGTTTAGCATGAACCCTGAAGGAGTCTACCAAATAAGGCTAGGAGGAGGGCGTTGAATCCCTCCCTTGCAAAGAACTTGAATTTATTCTACAATTGCTGGGGAATTATTGGTGGGTTTTAATCAGGAGAAGACACTGTCAGTTTTACATGTTTGCTGAATCTCTGAGTCAAATGGAGTAGGGAACACTGGACTGGACGCAGGAAAAGCAATTTGGAAGCTGTCCTGATAATACAGGTAAAAAATGAGGAAGGGATGCAGTAGATTACTGGAAGTTGATGCCCACAGTGGAGATAAGCATGGCTGAAAAAGCAGGTTCAGGATAGAGTTAGCAATATTCCTGTTGTGGTTCCTTTGAGAGATCTAAGTGGAGCTGTCCAGCACAAGAATTGCAAGCTCAGAAGAGAAGATAAGACAGGCATATCCATTTGGGAATCATAAGAACATATTTGAAGACAACAGGCTTATATATTTACCTTTGTACTCTGTGCAACTTCTAAGCTATTCCCTTCTTTTTCTCTTCCATGAGCCTTCTCCTTCCCTTTATTATTCAAGACTTTCCTTTTCCATGTCTGAGAGCCCTTTAATGATGGATAGGAGAAATGTGTCCTCCTCACATCAGACTCTAATAAGATTTGATCAGTGGCATTCAGTAAGAGAAACTGATTTGGTTTCTCAGACCACCACCACCTATAAATGTATCCTGAACCCCAGTGCTCATAAGTGGTGGCATCAACACTCATAGAAATAATAGCATCTCAGGGCTGTGTAAGATCTTAGGGGTTATATATCCCAACTCTTGCTGCAGTGCACTATATTCCTTATTCACATTTCCAGCCCTCCTGGTTTGCCCTTTGTAGTAGAAAAGGTTGCTTGGCTGCCACCATACATTTCTCTTTTCTCCTAGTTTCAGTGCCTGAATTGTTGACAATATCAAAGTGCTCTTTCTTTGTGGATTTGACTCAATAAAAAGTACCAGAGAAGAATCATCTCTTCCAATGCCTCCACCAACTTCAGACAGTCCTGAGGTTCAGGGCAGAGTGAACCAGTCCCTGGCTCTAGAAGGCAAATCCCAATTGGGTGGAGCTAGACATAATAAATCTCTTTCCCCTTGACAGGGATTAAGAAGGGACATGTGATCCAGTTCTAGCCAATACTAAGTGAGAGAAGTTTGCTGGAGGTTTCTGGGGAAATTTCCTTGCTCTTAAAAATTGTGATAATTCCTGTTCTTTATTTTATTTTATTTTATTTTATTTTATTTTATTTTATTTTATTTTATTTTATTTTATTTTATTTTATTTTTGGTGTTGTTTCTCTGGATGTTATTACCTTGGAGTTGGGGCACCAGCTGAGAGTTGAAGTTGATATTCTTTTTTTTTTTTTTTTTTTTTTTGAGACAAGATCTTAACTCTGTCGCTCAGGCTGGAATGCAGTGGCGTGATCTCAGCTCACTGCAACCTCCACCTCCCAGGTTCAAGCGATTCTCTTGACTCAGCCTCCCTAGTAGCTGGGATTACAGACACCTGCCACGGCACCTGGCTAGGTTTTGTATTTTTAGTAGAGACGGGGTTTCACCATATTGGCTAGGCTGGTCTTGAACTCCTGATCTCAGGTGATCTACCTACCTTGGCCTCCCAAAGTGGATGAGCCACTGCATCCGGCCTCAATTTTATAGTTATTAACACTGCTCACCAAATATCTCTGCCTCCCAGGCATATAGTAGAATTGCAATTCCTAGCCCACTTGTGAGTAGGAGGGGAAAGTGACTAGTATCAGTCAATGAGTTGTGAGCAGAAATGATGTGTGTTATTTTTGAAACAGAGCATCTAATTGCTGCTGCAAGACACTCCAGAATTTTCATTTTCTTCTGGCATGGTGATCAGCAATGTTCTATATGGGAGTGGTTTTGTCAGTGTGAGTACTTAGGTGACTACAGTGAGGAGTACCTGATAGCTAATAAAAATAGTGTCCCACCATGGGCATGTAGCATGAGTAAATATAGATCAATAGATCGATAGATCGATAGATACATAGATAGAGCATAGAGATATAAATATTAAAAATATACAAATATTTCTATCTATAAATATCTATATCTCTATTAATATCTATCTCTCTCTCTCTCTGTATCTGCTTTTGAAAGCAACTGGAATTGAGGCCTATTATTGCAGCATATCCTAGCCCACGCATCCCTATACAACACTGAGGTTGTCAGCTGAAAAGATGGACAGAACATCATTGGGCTACTCAAAGAGCTATGCTCAGGGCCTTCCCATCTCTGGTCTTCCAGTAAGGTGAGATAATTAAGTTTCCTTTTATTGAAACCTGTCTAAATACAAAGTTTCTCTTACATGTAGCCAATGGCATCCTAATGAATACATCATGCATTGTCTGTCTCAGTTCTGAATTTCTCTAGGGCTTCTACCTACCTATGCAATTTTGTACTAATCATATAACTTCCATGGGGTTCAGCTTACTCCTCTATAAATGGGCAGCTAAGTGAAGGGAGTGCCTCTAAGAAGCTACCTCTATTGCCACTTCAGAGTATATCTTTACCATGAACCTCAAGTATGAACTTGGGTCATGGCCTAGCATGACCTGCTCACTTGCTGTCCTTCTAAGCTCATCTGCCACTCGCCCCATACTCTGTCCCCTCAGCTATGCTGGTGTCCTGTGTTCCTCAAGGCCTTGGTATTTGCTGTGCTCTCTGCCTGGAGATCTTATCCCCAAATGTATGTAGAGTTCTTTCTCTCACTTTCTGTAGATTTCTGCTTAAGAATCACTGATGAAAATAGCACAGCCGTCATACCACTACCCACCATTTCCTCTTCCATCATGTTCTACCTTCACCTTATCATGATGAATTTTCCAGCATGGCATTTATCACTAACTCATACACATTCATTCAGGCATTTAAAAGTTCTATTCTGTTCTTCTACTAGAATGCCTGGTCTTGCTTGAATTTTATTGTCTGTTGTGTTGATTGCTGTGTTCTGCATGCCTGGAACAGTGCTTGGCACACAGTAGGCTGTGGTGGACCTGGAAGGACTCATCTCCAACTGTCCGCTCCTCTAGGGTCTGTCTCAGCTGCAGAAAGTTGCCTCCCCTGGAACCACAGTCTTCCTTCCCCAGGGGGCCCACATCTAATGACTAATCAAATTCAAAGTATCAAGGCCCAGCCATTTCAGCCTAATACAATAATAAGATGGACACTATTTTCTCTGAAGTTCTAGAGCACCCTGGGTTCAAGGCTTTGCTGGACCTGTATTGGATCTGTCCAATCTTGCTTCCTTCCGCATTTCCATTGGCGATGACCCTTAAAGAATAGTCTGCATGCTACATGTTGTCTCAGTATCTGCTGGGAGAGATCTGAGCCTGCACCACAGGCATTCAGTATGTATGTGTTGAATGAATAAGTGAATGAATAAATGAATGAATGAATGAGTCCATGAGCCCCAAGTTCCCACCATGGCATCTCTATACATGATTATATGGCTTTTGGTTTATCATATCTAGTCACAAGTTAGAAACTATCTCCTAAGGCCACCAATTCCAATATTAAATAATTCTAATAGAGAGAAAATTAGAGTACATTAGCTTTTGTTAATGTTGCT